AGAGAGGTCCCAGTGCCATTCTTGCCCTCCTCCTGATTCCACATCTCTGCATATAAAGATATGTTGCTTGGCACCCTGAAGGTGGGGACGTAGAAAGGGACCGAACGGAGATGGACATAAGGACAAACTGCATAAGGATATGGGCAGACTTCTCCACCACCATCCCTGCTTATAACACCCGTCATCTCCAGCCAAATCTGCATAAACCAGGTCGAAATAAGGATCAAATGTCCTAATACGAACCCGTTCTTACACCTGTGCGGCCAAAGGGGCGTTCGGTGACACAGCACACCGGGTGCAAAATGCCCTGGGGTGGTGTGAAGCCCTCCGTCCACCTCATTCGCTTTGTCCTCTTAATCCTCCCCACGCACTCAGAGTCCAAAGAAGACCTAATGACTTGGCGAAAGAGGCAGCAAATGTCTTGGCTTCGCTGCAAAACGAGCTCAATCAACAGTCAAAGCCAAAGGAAAATGGGAAAATTATGTTTTTTTGGGTTTTTTTTTGTTTTTTTTTTTCTTCTGAGGGTCTTGCAGTATCGTTGTGCCTGTGTTTGCTGTGAAGCCCAGCGAAGGGTTTGGAAGCAGAGCACCAAACAAGCCTTTCTCTATAGCAACTGGCCCCTGCAGGACACCTCGGAGCGCCTTACACAATGGAAACGGGAAAGCGCCGAGTCGCGAGTGCCTCCGCTGCGGGCTCAGAGCACCAGAGCAAAAGCAACCCAGGAATTCAGTTTGGCTGCAAAAGCGCCAAGAGCAGGAGCAGTTCAATACCCACTGAAAAAGAATTGCATCACTCGGAGACAGAGCGGCCACTTAAAGCCGTGAGCAGTCCGGATGGGGTGTTAAAAGAATGCCAAGCATCTTTGCGTTTATTTGTTCACTGGTGAAATAGGTGGCAGGATGACGGCAGCTGATGCCAGCCCAGGATCGCTGCCTGTCCAGCCTCCTTGCTCCCTGCTTCCCAACCAGGCCTGAAGGAGCTCTTAGCTTGCAAGGTCCCCCGGGATGAAGCTAGGTGCAAACTCCTGCTGAACCTAACTTGGTCCCTCAGCTTGAGGGCCCTAACCCAAGTCGTTACCCAGTGAGTCCCCTGTGCCCTCCCTTCAGCTGGATGCACTTAGTGCTGATGTGCTCGCAGCAGTGAGAACGCGTGTCCTCCAGCCGCTTAAAAATACTGCTGCTTGAGCACTTCTTCTTGAAGTTCTTACCAGCCCAAGGAGGGGAAGGTGCTGGAGGTCACTCGCCGCTGTAATGACCCCGCGGCTGCTGCAGAGGACAAGGGGCTGTGGCGGCAGTCGTGTCCCGGTGAGTATCTGTGGTGAAACACTGTTTACCTAGGGATGTAGAGGAAGGTGGGACAACCAACGGCTCAGAGTAAATGAAACACTGGGGAGATTGTAAAGGGAGATCAAGGTGTTCCAAGGAAGGCAGTTTATGGGGTGGATTTCCCGATAAAACCGGACATTTCAAAGAGTCACTTAACAGTGGAGCAATCCGTGTGTGAGCAGGGGGGTTGGACTAGATGACCTCTGAGGTCCCTTCCAACCTTAAGCTTTCTATGATTCTATGATTCTAATGTTACAATAAACCAGAAGCAGTTCTGGGCAGCACAGTAGGCAGCTCACTGAAGGAAGCGTAGTTCAGATATATGATTTTTGAAGGAGGTTGAGGCTCTGCCTACTCAACCTGGAAAGAAATCCTCGAGGAAAAGTGTCCAGCAATCCAAAGGCTTGTGTGGGGATTTCTTATCTTCCGTTGCAGCAGTGCTAGGTGCAGGAGCTGGGGCACGCTGCTCCGGGCTGGACGCTGTGCAAGCAGCAGTTAGAGACACAGATACCTTAAAGTTTTTATCTGCTCCCTGTGATGCCCAAGTCGCAGAACTGTCCCTAGGGTGGGGATAAAGCTGCTCCTCTCCGCCGTGGCCTGTGCAGCCCTGGGTGTTACTGCTGCCCTTTAACTTGGTGCTAACTTGGTGCTAGCCTTTGCTCTCGACTAGACCAGCCTCAGAGCCACCACCTTTGTCACTGCCTAAGCTGGAACCCCAAGAGTCTCCTCGTGCCCTAGGCCAGCAGATCTATCCAGCGTCCTAGGGCGACCGCAAACGGTCCCATCTCCCACATCCTCTCTAGGGGGATTGTGGAGTCCTGACCCATGTGTTGGAGGGTGGCGGGAGCTGCCGGAGCCTCCGTGGGGCCGGCGGCCCTTCCTCGTCCTGCGGCACCTGGCGAGCGGGGCCGCCCCGGCGCGGGGAGGGGGACGGCGGCGCGCGCGGCTCGGCCCAGGTGGGAGGGACTGCGATCCCCTTAAATCCCGGCGCCCGCAGCACCCGCTCCTTGCACGGAGCCTCCCACGCGCAGGTTGCACCACATCAAGGTGCTGTTAGAGGCACCGCGGCCGGAGCAGTGAGCGGGAGCCGAGCACGGCAGCCCAGGTACCTGCAGAGAACTGCTGTAATGGCCATGCCCGCCTTCCCCGTGCTTTTCCAAGCCTTTCTTCTGCTCCCTTCAGTCTTCCATGCTGTTTTTGTTTGCAAGTTGTATCTGTTTCTCTCTTCCATCACTTCTGCCTCCTGCTGCTGCTTTGCATTTGGCTGATGACTCTTCTTGTGCTTTGGGGAGAATCTGCCACAAATCTCAGCTGTGCCAAGACCTGGGGGTTCCCGCGTGAGCCGTCCCGCTGGCTTGAGGAGAGCCCTGCTGGGGTTGCTCTGGCTGGGGGGCTCAGCAAGGCTGTGGTTTGCTCATTGCTGAGGCTACGGTTTGGGCTTAGCTCAGTGACCCCCGGGTTTTGTTTTGTTAGCAGCAGCCTTCCTAGCCCACCATCTGCAGGAGGTGAATGCCCTATAGGGCCCTCCTATAGCTCCATAGCTCCATGCTGCCTCTGCCCTGGGCAGGTTTGGGAGATGCTTCCCCCGTGCCCTTCAACCTGCTGCTGCTTAAATAGGGCACATGGAGGCTGCGGGGTGGAAACTGCCCCCCGTTTGCTACAGGATGCTGCTGCTCCCGAGCTCTGCCGGCAAAACGCACCGTGGCCACGGTGACAGCTCTCCCGTCCCCAGCGACGAGGGGCCTGCGAGGCTGGAGGGATCTAAGGAGCTCACAGAGTCCTGGTGTCCCCGTCCCTTCCTGACGGGTGGATGCGGAAGGAGCCTGGGGTTTGCGTTTCCAGGAGTAACAGCCCGGACTTGGTGGCTGCTGCAGCCTCGCTGCTGCTGGACCTCTGCTCGGACACCAGGTCCGTGTCCTGGTGCCTTGGAGCTCCAAGGAACTGTGCCTGAGCACTCTGGCTCCAAGGAGAACAGTGAGGCAGCCTTATCAGCGTGGAGGGGTCGAGGATGTGGCCTCCAGCATGTGCTTTATCCCCGTGGAGTCCTCTGCAGCACAAGGGCATCACACATGTTGGGCACATGGGACCCAGCTCCATGTGGCCAGGCCTGGCAAGTTCCTGGCAGGACAGGCAGCCTGCAGGAGTTACTGGGAGCTGGGATGCTCCAGCACAGCCCTGGCCCCAGGCACCCTCTGCTCCCGATATCCTCTGGGCTCCAGGCCATCCAACCTGCTGCATCCCACGGGATGCTCCGGCTCAGCCATGACCCCTTTGCTTCTTCGTTTTCGGGATTTTTCTATTCAGGAGTCTGTTTCCACAGATTAGGAAGCCCAATTTCCAGCCGAGCAGTCGCTCCCTGGAGCGAAGGGCACTGCACTTGAATGCACTGCTTCCTTGCCCGTGGCAAAGGGGGTCCTGGTTCCCAGTCTGCAGCCCATGCCTGAGCTGCTGCTGCTGCTGACTGCTCCTGGGCAGCCCTGATGCCCATGAGGGCAGCCCCTCACCCTGGGGCTGCCCGTGCTGGGGTCCAGCGGCCGTGTGGGTACCATGTGCTGTGCCCTGCTCTTCCCCCTCAGAGGCTCTTCCATAGGGAAAAGATGCAGCCAAGTCTCAAATCCCCCTCAGAGTTTTGTTTGTGAACTCGCTTTCACTGAGGAGGAGTGATGGGGTGTGGGGTTAATTGTGGCAGTGTCAGACGAGAGGAAGCGCAGGACCTCGGGGCAGGGTGGGACGCGGGCATGCTGCTGCTGGGCCCGCAGCGCCTCCATCCACCTCGCTTAACAGCTGCCTTGTCCCGCGGGCGCTCACTGCACCCAGGGACCTCTCCTCCTGCGGGAAAATCCAGGTGTCCTCCACCTAGTTCGTGCGTTGTGATTCTGCCTCCTTTATTGAAGAGCGGCTCTGCCTGCGTCTTGCATCGCCGTGGTGCCGCAGTCCCCCTGGGAGAGCGGGACGCGCTCCGAGCCCGTTCCGCACCCCAGGAACGTTGTGGGGCTGAGCCCGGGGCCACGTGCAGAGCAGCTCCCTCCGCTCCGGGTGTCCCCCCTGTCCCCTGGGCAGCAGACAGGTCCGTGCATGTTGTAGAACGGGGGAAGGCCCCGCAGCCCCTCCCAGCCCCCGTTAGTCACCACCGGGCAGACGTGACGCGGGCGCCCGCCCCCGGCGGCTCCATCCTGATCCGCTGACTCGATGCTTAATCAATCTGCGATAGCCCAGTAAAGGAGCCGCTCGTTCCAGGCTGCTGCGGGAAGGGACAAATGCTCTGTTAAGTGCAGCCCACTGTTTGCATGCGTTACACCTAGAGATCCATGCAGGATATGGAAAAAAAAATCTTTGCACCCTGTTGAGGATTAATCCTCCTCATGCTTGCCAAATACTTGGGGACACTGGGAGGAGAGGGCTGGAATTGAGTGGAAAAGAAAGTCCAGAACATCTCCTTTCCTTGCGAGCTGGGTTCCAGGCTTGCCCTCCAAGCCCTGCTCCTTGCAGACTCTCAGAGCTGCCCCTGTAACCGTTCCCCTCTCCGCATTCTTTAGATTCTTCTCTCTGCGCTGCTGGATTGAAGAAAGAGCCCGAGGTCTCCTGGAGCGGAAGGCACGTGGCCAGCGTGTCTTGAAGCCGGAGCGCGGGAGGTTTCCTTTGGACTCGAGACTGTGAAAGCAGGGAGAGGGGACCATGTCGCGGGTGATCCCGAGCCACGTGCTGCGGGTCGGGCAGAGCGTGTGCGTGGCGTCGCAGGAGGAGAGCGCGAGGCTGCGCGCCGCGGGCTGCGCCGCCTGCCCGCCCCTGCGCGGCTCCTTCGCCTGCTGCCCCGCGGCAGCGCGGTGCCGGGGCCACCCCTGCGCGCCGGGCAGCACCCAGCACGACGCCCCTCCGGAGAGAGCCCGTGTCCCCGGCCCGCCGAAGGAGGGGGACGCCAGCATGGAGCCCCATGCTCCCTTGATGTCTCCTACCTTGGATATATCAATAGAAAGTCTCAACCAGCTGATCCTGGAAATAGATCCCACCTTTGAGCCGCTCGCATGCACGCCGGTCAAGGACGCTGCCCGAGCCGCTCCTCAGCGTGACCTTGCTGCAACCAAGAAACAAGATGCAGAGGCAACAGGTGAGACACAAAAAAACCCCTCATTTAGCAGAGCCAGTTTAGATCTTAAAGACCATTTATCTCGGTCCAAGAAGTGATGCTGTCCGTGTCGCAGCCTGGCACATGCTAAGTGAGCTCCTGTGTGCTTGGAAAGCCTGGAAATGGGGCCTTGCTGGCGTCCCCTTTGTGTAAAGGCAGCTGAGGTTTCACAGGGGATGCTCTCACCTCTCCCACCACATCAGTGCTGGGCACAAAGGGGCAGGTGAGTAGCTCATGTGTCCAGGTGATTGCCCTCCAGGCTCACGTACCTGGGTGGCTCTGCTCTGGTCACATTTGAGTTGTCTCCTGTCCAGCTAGCCCTGCAGGAGCCTGAAGGAACAGCGAGAACAGCCCTTAATTCAACCTGATATTTGCTTGTCTGTGTGTGGAGAGTGTTTGTCAAGAGGAGTTAGCCTGAAAGCTCCTAATCCAAGTTATTACCATCAATGACTGGAGACAAGTGCTGACCTCAGCTTGCGATGTCTTCAGCGCATTTAACCTCGCAGCAGAGCCCCAGTTCTGTGAGAGGCCACCGGGGTCTTCCCAGCGTCACACTTGCCCTGTGGAAGTACAGGGATTTGAAGCCAGACTTCCAAAGCACAGGGCTAATGTGCTCATCTTTTACGCAACCCTTCCAATTTGAATGTTCCCAATGATTTTGCAAGGGAGATTCCTTTCACAGGGCTCACACGGTCCGCCGGCAGCGTCTCTGGCACATGCAGTGCTGAACATCATCAGGGCAAGCCAACCCCAATCCCCTCCTGGCACCTTGTGTGACCCTGTGCAGCAGCTCCATCCCCTCCGGGACACCTTGTGTGACCCTGTGCAGCAGCTCCATGCCCTCCTGG